AACAGTAAACCCTAGTAAACCCTAGTTGAATCCAAGAGCTTCTTCACTGCTGGCAGCTGCTTTGCAGTGTTTAGTGTGTTGCCTAAACCCCACGAGGGTTTAGGGTTTAGGGTCTAGGGTTTAGGGTTTAGGGTTTAGGGTTTGTTGCAGAAAGCTGATGCGGTACTACAAGGACCAGGCGGGGCTGCGAGATGATGTGGTGGAGTTTCTGTGGGTTAAGCGCAAAGTCGTGACGCGGGTAAACCCTAAACCCTAAACCCTCGTAAACCCTCGTAAACCCTCGTAAACCCTCGTAAACCCTAGTAAACCCTAGTTTGCACATCTAAACCCTCACGAGGGTTTAGGGAATATAGAGTAGCAGACGCAACTGCANTAGGGTTTAGGGTTTAGGGTTTAGGGTTTAGGGTTTGTGCGCAGCTGCTGCCTGATTTGAGTCCCCTTGACTACCGCATGCAGCGGGGGCAGCTGCAGCTCTTCGCTGAGGCTCGGCCTTCGTTGCAGTATGCACAGAAAGTATGGATTTCTCTTTTTATAGAAGGTAATTAGGGTTTAGGGTTTAGGGTTTAGGGTTTAGGGTTTAGGGTTTAGGGGTTGTCAGGGGATAGGGTTCGGCCTTCGTTGCAGTAGGCACAGAAAGTCTGGATTTCTCTTTTTATAGAAGGTAATTAGGGTTTAGGGTTTAGGGTTTAGGGTTCAGGGGTTAGGGGCTAGGGTTCAGGGGTTAGGGTTTAGGGTGCAGGGGTTAGGGTTTAGGTTTTACCGGGCAGCGGGGGTCTCTGTTAGAAGGGTTTAGGGTTTAGGGTTTAGGGGTTAGGGTCTGTAGGGTTTATTAAGGTCTGTTAGTGGTTGCTAGGGTTCACACTAAGTGTTTATTTGTATGGATCAGGGTTTTCATTAGGGTTTAGGGTTTAGGGTTTAGGGTTTAGGGTTTACAGTTCGATCGTCAGTGCCTTCACTGCAGAAACTATTGAATCTTTATTCTAGGGTTTAGGGTTTCGTGTAAACCCTCNATCGTCAGTGCCTTCACTGCAGAAACTATTGAATCTTTATTCTAGGGTTTAGGGTTTCGTGTAAACCCTCGAGGGTTTAGGGTTTAGGGTTTAGGGTTTAGGGTTTAGGGTTTAGGGTTTGTGTGCAGGTTCTGAGGAGGCTCCGTATCTCCCTCGTCTTCGTTTCAATGCGAGCATGATGACGCCTTTCTCGTAAACCCTAAACCCTAAACCCTAAACCCTAAACCCTCAGAGTGTAGCTATGTGCATCGCCCTGTTAGCTCTAGACCAAACCATCGGCTCTCTTCTGCTGCTGATGCTGCTCATGCTGCTGCTGTTGCTCATGCTGCTGCTGCTGCTCATGCTGCTGCTGCTGCTGCTGCTCATGCTGCTGCTGCTGCTGCTGCTGCTGCGGTGTATTGACAGCCGGCTATCTGAGAGCTACAGCAGAAACGTGGGGGTTGCCGAGGGAGACTTGCTGCTATTCTATTCTGTAAGTCCCTTGCTGCTGCTGCTGCTGCTGCTGCTGCTGCTGCTGCTGCTGCTGCAGCTGCTGCAGCAAATGCATTACTAAGGGGAAGACGAGCAGTTTAGGCTGATACCGTGCTGCTGCTGCTGCTGCTGCTGCTACTGGTACTGCTGCTAGTGCTGCTGCTTCCCCAGTCATGTGTGTTGTATTTGTTGCTGTTGCTGCTGCTGTTGCTGTTGCTGCTGCTGCTGCTGCTGCTGCAGCGGGAGCAGTATACGGTGCAGATAAACCTCAGCAAATGCCCACTGGACTACGACGTCAGGGAGAACGATGTAGTCAAGGTCTGTCTGCTGCTGCTGTTGCTGCTGCTGCTGCTGCTGCTTCTGCTGCTGCTGCTGCTTCTACTACTACTGTTGCTGCTGCTGTTGCTTCTTCTGCGGCTGCTGCTAGTCC